CTTTCTTTCTTCTTTTTTTGAGACAAGTTTTCTCTGTGTGGCTTTGGTGCCTGTCCTGGAAACTAGGCTGGCCTCGAACTCACAGAGATCCTCCTGGCTCTGCCTCCCAAGTGGAGTGCTGGGATTAAAGGGATGTGCCACCACCTGACTGTTGTCTTTTCTTAAATTCGCATGCAGCCCAGGAGGGAGTAGAGGTAGAGACCCGGGCTGCTTGTTACACCCACTCTCCCCTCCCCTCCCCCACTCCCACCCCTGCGCCTGCGCGCCTCTCCTCTGTTGCAGTCATCTCGGATATGGCTCGCTCTTGTCCCTACAAGTATCTCTTCCGTACTTTAGACGTTATTCCACCCAATTAGCACACAGAAAACGCTTGATGAAGGGCAGACTGTAAGCATAAGTGAATGACTCTTGGAGAGATCAAATAGAATGGGAGGGAAAAGCCTTTTCCAGATTTTAAAATTTGTTACGTTGATAGCTCAGATTCCCCCCCTCCCCACTGTGGATGAAGACTGGCACAGGACAATCCGGTTTCTTTAAATGGATTCCAGTGGGGTAACCTCTGAGTTTCCAGGGAACGCAGATGAATTTCAGTATTCACTAAGATAACAGTGTGCTGTAGATCCGCAGGGGGCCAGAGAAAGTAGAGCATTTCCAGACTGTGTCCGAGGTCAGACCTAGGTGATCCGGGGTTATCTCGGTGTAAGGAGCCAGCGGGGGCCCTGGGGCCTGACATCCAGGCAGGGTGAGGATTCGGCGGGACCTCCGGGCTTGGCCCAGCGGGGAGCGGGAGCGGGGGAAGGGCGCCCTCTGCCGAGGGTGAAGAAAAATACAGTCCGGCATTTGGTGAGCCCTAGGGCTAGACTTCACTTGTAGAGGGGCAGGAGAGGCGACCAGAAGCTGTTCCTCACAAGCTCTCTCAGCTGCTTCTCTTCAGCCCCAAGCATAAAGTCCGGTGGTTAATTGCAGGCGCTGTTCCCAGGGAGAGGGTGTGCCCCCCACTCCCGAGTGCTCAGTGCCTAAGAAAGATGCTCCTAGACGACCCGGTTTTTTGACCGTATTATCTTTCCCCATCCAGGCTCTAGAGCTCAGGAACTGGGGACTTGGTCCTGGGGAAGACCTCGGGTCACTTGTGAGTAAGGAGGGAGCTCTGACCCACCCCAAGGCTGCACACGCGCTCGCGGGCGCACACACAAGCGCGCGCACCACGTCGCTTGCCCATAACACTGAGAGGCTGACTTCGACGGTCAGGTGGCTCCAACCCTGGTGGCACCTGACTGCTGTCCTATGTTAGACCCGGCGTGTGTCCGCGGAGGGAGAAGAGCAGTGGATCGTGAGGAATCGTGAGCGATCACAAAACAACAACGGGTGGGGACGGTCTCACCAGCTTCCTCCCCCCAAGAAAGGTGGCAGTGGCTTGCACAGGACCCAGTCTCTTTATTGAATCTTGAGTGACACCTAGTGGTCCACCCGCCTCACCGTCGCCGAGGCTGCTGCCTGGAGAGCTGGGTTTTCGGAAGACGGGAGCTTATTTATCCTTGCTGTCAATGACTGAGAATCCATGGCAGCGCCGAAGGTTCCTAGCACTTGGCCGGAAGCATGCGCTGTCACCTACCACAACCTTTTCTTTGTTGTCTGTGGTTCCGCAAGAAGTATCTGGAGAGTTTGCTCAACGGACACACCATTCTAGCCGCGAATGTGTTGAGTAAGACGCTCTCCCAGGTGCTGGGAACACAAAAAAAGGTCCAGGTGTGGTTCCTGCTCCCGAGAAACACACAGCCTAGGTAGGTGCCAGAAATGGACTGTTGTTTTTTTTTTTTTAAATAAAATAAAATGCCATACTCCACTGGGAAAAAAAGGGTGTGTATGTCATTTGTGGAGAGGCTAACTCCCTAGAGCGTTGAGGAAGACAGTCACCACTTGAGCTGGGTCCTGAAGATCAGGCTATATATGATAGATAGAATAATAAGCGAACTGACAACATTCTCAGCCCACAATGTGCACATTCTTCCTCCTAGTTGTTCAGACAATTAACTTGAGTACTACTTCTAAGAGAATTTGCGGGTGTGGTTAAGATCCCCAAGTCTGCCAATCTGAAAGTCTAAAGATTGCCCAGGATCGGCTTCATCTAATCAGCCGAGCATTTGAAAGGGACTGGAATTTTCCTGGCAAGAGAGATTTGAGGATAAAAAGGACTCTTGTGGCATTTCCTCTGATCGGCTGATTGTTAGGAATTTGGGCAACCCGGAGAACTGAGCGCCAAAGAGGCAAGAGAGCTTGATCTCCGCACGTGTGAGAAAATGGTAGGTTCTGATGGTGGACAGTGAGCTGGGAGAGAAGCCAGAGTTTGCTCCACACAAAACCAAACCCCAGCTGACACCTGAGTCTAGCTTTGCAAGACCACAGATAGAGAGCTCGGATCGCCTGTGCTGATCTACGAAACTATGATTAATAAATCGGAGGCGATTTAAGCTGACAACTTCACAGTGTGTTCAGAAGCCACAGGACGTGGAGGCAGGTGGACATTTGGAAGGGGAAAACAGGACCACAAAGGCTCCGAGGCGAGGGACCCTTGGAGAACAAAAGCCACCAGGTCCAGCAGGACCATGCAAGCAAATGAGAATGTAAAACCTGGAGTTAAGAGCTGGGTTTTGGATGGGAGCCAGGGTGTCCTTGTGTGAATGGACAGCTACCTGTACTCCTGTTTTCACGGAGTAAAATGGAGTTAGCAGTAGTTAAAGCCTCCTGTTTTCACGGAGTAAAATGGAGTTAGCAGTAGTTAAAGCCTCGAGTTATGTTGGTGGTACACATGCAGTGCAGTCCAGGGACTATTAATTGTTCAGATGTTAGGTAGTGATAGTTGTAACAATTAATCCAGCACACATCAGACTGGATGGAGAGGCCTTGATCATGAGGGTTTTTGTTGTTGTTTTTTTTTTTTTTTTTGTTTTTTTTTGGGGTGTCTAGGGACTATATACCCCAGAATTACCTAACCCCACCTTACCAAATCAGACCCTAAGAGTAAGGAGGACTTGTGCTCTCAAAAAAGAAAGAGAGAAGGCTGTAACTGGACCATTTCGGTAGTTACACGTAAGCAGCTGCTAGAATAAAGCAGGGCCGTGAGAACAGGATGCGCACATGACAGGCTTCCAGGGAGCAGAGTCTCTGGGGCTGAACAGCTAGCCAGAGGATGTGCTGGGATCATTCTGAGAGGGGGTGAGGATGAGGATAATGAGTGATATTATTGGGAATCCTAGGAGCTGGAAAGCCACAAAGACAGGAACACTCTAACTCAGGGACCATATTGGGACTGGGATTACAGTGTCCGTGAGTACATGAAGTCATGGGATGATGTCAAGAACAGAACTGAAAATGTCCAGGGCTATGGTGTGGGCCTCTCTAGCACCAAGAATAAGCCACTGGAAAGACAGGAAGGGTGCTGAGTGGGGCAGTGCCGAAGGAGACATTAGCCACTGGTGTCCCTGGCCTTGGAAGAATCCAAAGGGACAAAGTAAGAATGCATCCCTGGGATGTACTCCGTCAGTGGCAAGAGCAGCAGCACTCACAGACTGTGGCCTGGGGGTGAACAGGAAGCAAGAAATGGGTTGTGTTTTGTCAGACTCTGAAGAGAAGGGGAGAAGTGGGGTAGGAGCTAGAAATGGGAAGACCCCCACCCTACACCCCTTCCATTAGTGTGAACCTAGACACCCCATCAATAAACATGGCTGTGGCGAGCAGCCCTGAGCCTGCTGACCCTGAACTACATAAGGCAAGAATAGGTTCTCCAGGGAAGAATGGTCAGCGGGATGCCAGGCTGAGTGTGCCTTTCATTCCAAAGTATGCAGCTGGGTTTGTAAGATGAGAGAGAGAGACAGAGACAGAGAGAGACAGAGACAGAGAGAGACAGAGACAGAGACAGAGAGACAGAGAGAAACAGAGACAGAGAGACAGACAGAGAGAGACAAAGAAACAGAGAGACAGAGACAACAGAGACAGAGAGACAGAGACAGAGAGAGACAAAGACAGAGAGACAGAGAGAGACAGAGACGACAGAGACAGAAAAACAGAGATGGAAAGGGGGAGAAATTGGGTTGATTCACAGAATATGGTCCTGGCAGTCCAGTCTGTCTCACACTGGAGAGGCCGGGGACCCCATAGTTACTCAGTCCCCCAGGCTAGTTATCTCAGCATCCCGAGTCCTCTAAAGGACTGGAGGGTTCCTGGAGAGCTGCTGGTCTAAGTTAGAATACCAGCAAAGTTGGGTTTCCTATCAGGGAGGGAATACCACAGCAATAGGGTAGATGGGCTCGCCGGCCAGCCCGAGGGCAAGCAGACAAAGACCATTTTCCTTCTTCCACACCTTTCGATCTGGGCTGCCACCAGAAGGCACCGCCCCTTTAGCGCTGGGTCTAACCCCCCTCTAATCATCTAATCAAGGAAATCCCTCACATGTGTGCCCGGCAGGCAGCGTGGGTTTTAGTCAATTCCAGATGTAGCCAAGTGGACAACTGAGATTCACCGTCACAGCTACTGTGGCGGGCAAAGCGGACCCACACAATATAACTTGATTTCTTTGGAGGAATCCGGTGTTGCTAGAAACTGGAACAAAGCAGGACATGGAGCCAGGAAAAGTTACCCAGAGTCCTGGCAAGTCAGAGAGTTGCCTTGCTGTGGAGTGACCGGACTACCAAGTGTGCTTCCCGAATGGCTTTCTAGAGGGACTCTTGTCAGGAATTGATTATGATATTGGGCAAATGAGTGTGCAATCTCGCGAGGGCTAATCTATCACTCCCTATCTGAGAAATCCAGGCACTCCATCTTTTTTGACAGGCAGCATGTATATTCTATTGCCAGGAAGGAAGGCAGTTGTCAAATTCCCAATTTTTCTCTTTGAAAAATTAACGTTTAGCTCAAATGGGAGATCTGGGGGAACACATAAGACCTTAATTACAAAGTGCAGTTCAAGATTTGTACTAATTAATAAGCTGATGAAAAATTCATTGGAATTCAGAGAAGAAACAAGAGAGGGGAGAAAAAGCTGGCCAGGGTTAACTCGGAGTTCTAGAAAATGTTTAAGTCTACCCAAAGAGGCAGCCAGCCACCCCTCTGTCGTAATTACAGTTTAATCACTCGCGTGATTATTTCATCTGTAAAACTTCAGTTGTATATCAAAAGCCGTGCAGAGAATATTTCTTTAAACTTTGCAGTTTCTTACAGCAATATTATACCAGTATATTAAAGATTTTAAAAACCAGCTTAGTTTCCTAACATATTATTTGTTTGTTTGTTTGTTTGTTTGGGGGGTGTGCGGTTTGGGACAGTGTCTAGCTAGCCTGGGTGGGTAGCCTGGAACTCACTGTGTACATCCGACTGGCCTTGAGCTTGTGGTGAGTCCCCTGGCTTCCCTTCCTGTGAACCACTAGGCCCAGCTACTGCCTTTATTTTTTTAAAATATAACTTATTTTTATTTCATGAGCATTTGTGTTTTGCCTGCATACATGTCTGTGTGATCTGAAACCAGAGTGACAGGAACTTGTGAGCTTGCCATGTGGGTGCTGGGAATTGAACTCAGGACCTCTGGAAGAGCAGCCAGTGCTCTTAACCACTGGGCCATCTCTCCGGCCCTGGCCACTGCCTTCAGATGTAAGGGAAGCTGTTGGAATCATGGCGTGGCTGCTGTTCACTAGCTGTGACCTCCTGTTAGTTGCCTATTCCTCCAGAGTTTGTCTCCTGTCCCAGACAGTGACGGAATGACCCACCAGGTTGTGGGTACAGATGATCGCCTTCTTCTGTGACTCACCACACCCTTCCCTTCCAGAGTCTGAGTTCAAGCAGACCAGGAACTAGACTGGGTACTGAAACAGAGTACGTGGGCACAGTTAGGCTAGCAGATAAGACAGCACGGAAGGATGCCAGCGATCTCGTGCTCTGTGTAACCACCCTGTCCTGGCCCCCATCACCACCTCAGCCAGACCTGGGAATCTGACATAGAAGACTAGATCTGCAAAGACGAATTCAAGCCAAGCAGGCTCACCAAGGGCAGAGGCTTCCTCCACCCCCTGAGGAATTAAAAAAGAAAAGAAAAGAGAGCAGCTGGTGAAGGGATATGAAGGTTCTAGCATTAGGAGAGAAAGGAGCTGAGGCAGGCAGTGGACTCCCTCCAGGAGACAAGATTGTTGCATTCTGGAGGAGGTGGGCTATGTGTCCTTGACCCCACCAAACCAGCTTCAACAACCAGATAAGAGTACCCGGTGGGTGTGTCCATGAGGCAAACATCCCATAATGTTCCCATTTCCTAAGTCACAAAGAAGAGAGAGACACCCTCCAGCCTGCCCCATGTCATGCAAATCCCAATGGCCAGCTCCCCCACATGGCATTCCAAGGATCTTTCCAGAGCAGAAGTATCTAGTTCAAGCCGGTAAGGTAAAGTCCAGGCCAACACATAGGCCTTAAGTGATCCAGGTCCTGTATATGTCTCAAGTCACCTTCCCCTCCCCGCCTGTCTTAGTTACTTTTCCTGTTATGATAAAACACCCTGACAAAGGTAACAAATAAAGAAGAATTAATTTTGGCTCACAGGTCTAGAGTACAACCAGTCCATCATAGCAGTCAAGGTGGCAGGAGCTTGAAGCAGTCTGCCATAGTGTAATTATAACTGAAATTATAATTATAATTTTCCTTGGTTATGATAAAAGATAAATTAGATATGAAACTTTAGACTCACAAATATAAGATAGATAATAAAATATTTTCTTTTATTTTGCCAAATACAGATCGACTAGATATTG